AAAACAAAACAAAACAAAACCAAAAACCGCTCATTGTAAAAGTCCCATTACAAGACCTAGTGGGAATACTTCCATAATGACATAATACATAGGTTATTGATTGTGAAAATCAAGCATAGGGAACTCAGGAAGTAGTTGCTATTTGTAGTTTTTGAAGCAAAAATGCCAACAGTTTCTAAAGCAAATGCCCAGGAGTGAGGAGGCCTAACCAACACTTCTTGAAACCAACACCAAAAATTCTTAAAAAAAAAACTAAATATAGTTAAGTGATTGCAAATAGAACACATTAGATTATGTTTGGGAACAGATACAAACAAATTCTGGTATGTGGGTGAAAATCACCAGGCAAGGAGGTACAGTATCTGCTCATTTTTATTTTGTATAAAGTAGTGTTCATGATATGCCACTTCCACTCGAATGAATCGAACATACCTTTACAAAAAGTGGCATTCTCAGTAACAAATTCACTTAGAATCCATGATCAGGGGCTGGGAAGGTGGCTCAGTGGTAGAGGCTTGCCTTGCATGCCTGAGGCTCTGGGTTCGATTCCTCAGCACCACATAAGCAAAAAGAAAAAAGCCGGAAATGGCGCTGTGGCTCAAGTGGTAGAGTGCTAAACTTGAGCTCAAGAGCTGAGGGACAGCGCCCAGGCCCAGTACAGGCCCAGGCCGGGTACAGGCCCCACGACCAGACCCAAAAAAATAAAAATAAATAAATAAATAAAAAGAATCCACGATCAGAAATCTGTTCATCTAACAGGCCATTCAGCCAGCTGCAACTAAGGGAAACCTTTCCGTTTGTGCCATGAGGTACCTGTTGTGTTTCATCAACTACTGAACGCTGTTACAACCTAATGAGAACACAGATTAGACAACATCAGGGGTCTGTTGGCTGGTGTTTTGAGGGGGGTGGTGTGTGTGGTTTGAACTCAGGGCCTCATACTTGCTAGGCAGGCACAGGGTCTCAGATTTATGCCAAGGCTGACTGGAACTGCAAGCCTATTTAGACACTTAGTTTAGCTGAGATGACAAGTATGTGAATCCCTCTGTATTTACTGGTGGAATGGCGTTGCTCACACTCTTTGCCAGGACCTTGCTGAGGAATGCCTCCCACTAAGCCAGGACTCCAGGAAGAGCCCTCCATACCCAGGCTGGGGCATTAGCTGTTTACATAAGGTGATCACTGACATACCTTCACTCGCTCCTCAAAAGGAACCACGAAAGGCAGTTCTGTCAGGATGGCAAGCTGCCGCTCCTCAGACACGGACAGTGGCGGGGACTCCAGACCCACTGCAGTATTAGAAGCTCATTAGTCCACACTCACTGTCAGACAGGCCCCAGCAGTCTAACGCAGCTATCTACCCCCAGCGCCCCAGACCCAACCTAAACGTTTTTCAGTCTTCCTGGTCATGTGAGCGGTACCACAACAGCAAGGGCAGGACAGCAGGCCATTTTTTTGTGGGTGATGAGACTAGCTCATGGGGCCAAGACCCAACCTGTGGAAGCACAGGCTGCAGTGTGTAGAGGCGCTCCCGGAAGCCGCCGGGAGGTAAGGTGGGCTCACCCTCCAGAGCAGACTGCAGCGGGCCGATCCTGCCCATCCGCCGGAACCTCCAAACGTGCCTGGAAGCAGGGACGTAGAGCTGGGTGACCTGAGGGGACCAAACTGGTGTCAGCACCTCCTTCTGACCCACAAGGACCCTGGCTGGGCTTCCTCTACTGCGAGACAGGCTGGACCTTGCTTCTGTTTTGATGAACTGGCCTGTGGAGAGCTGCGGGAGCCGCGACCAAAGACGGCTGCAAAGGCAAAAATGGCAGGGCCGCGTGGTGCGGCTGCAACCTAAGATGGCGCGGGCTCCCGCCTTCCGTCTTCCTCGTGACGAGTGCTCTCTGTAAAAAACAACTCCTTATATGGCTATGACCTGGCTCCTAGTTTGCTTCCGTGTTTGCAGCCCTATCAGTATATGCCACATGGCGCTTCAGGATTGGCCATCCAGGAGGCTTATAACCGGAGCGCGGGGCGGATGGGGAGGAGAAACAGGAAGAAGCGGGCAGGAGAGAAGTAGGAGGGAAGGAGAAAAGTAGGAGAAGCAGGAAGAAGAAGCGGGCAGGAGAGAAGTAGGAGAAAAGAAGCTGTAAACAAGGTCCTGAATAAACCGTCTGAAAGAAGGACCTGTTGTCGCGTCATCCTTGCGGGTCGAGGCGGTCGTGACACTGGCCCTCTCTGCCCTATCTAGTCTGCACTTGCTTGCTTCTCCTATGCCGATTCTTTTTTTTTTTTTTTGAGTCCGGTCATGGGGCCTGAACTCTGGGCCTGGGCGCTGTCCCTCAGCTCTTCAGCTCAAGGCTAGCGCTCTACCACTTGAACCACAGCACTACTTCCGGCTTTTTTTCTTTTTGCGTATGTGGTGCTGAGGAATCGAACCCAGTGCCTCAGACATGCAAGGCAAGTGCTCTACCACTGAGCCACCTTCCCAGCCCATGCTGATTCGATTTTTAAACTGAATTGATAACTTTTATTTTTCCTTATTTTGCCAGGCCTGGGGCTTGAACTCAGGGCCTGGGCGCTTTCCCTGAGCTTTTTTTGCTCAAGGCTAGCACTCTACCACTTGAGCCACAGTGCCACTTCAGGCTTTTTCTGTGTATGTGGTGCTGAGGAATCGAACCCAGGGCTTCATGCATGCGAAGCCACATTCCCAGCCCAATGACTGTTTTATTCAATAATAAACAGTATCAGGGCATAGCAAACAGTCATAATAATACAATGCTTTACAAAAAAACCATACTGAAAGCATCCTTATAAATTTGTTCAGAGTGCACTACAGGTATAACTATGTGAACTATGTCACTGATGTTCTTCTGTGCTGAGCTTTCTTCTTTTTTTCTTTCAGTAATGGGGCTTGAACTCTGGGCATGGGCACTGTCCTTGAGCTCTTCAGCTCAAGACAAGTGCTCTACCACTTGAGCCACAGTGCCACTTCCAGTTTTCTGGTGGTTAACTGGAGTAAGAGTCTCAACAGACTATCCTGCCCAGGCTGGCTTTCAACCATGATCCTCAGATCTTAGCCTGCTGAGTAGCTAGGATGACAGGCGTGAGCTATCAGTGCGTGGTTTCTGTGGTGAACTTTCTAGAGTAAGGATGAAATGGGGATGATTTCTATCTGGCACCACCCCTCATTTCCTGGGGACTAGCTTAAGCTCAGGTCAGCAGCCCACTGCGAGGGCCTCAGACCTCACTGACGTACACAGACTGAGATGGGCCATAGTCACAACACATCTGTAACCGAGAGAAAAGCAGAGTCCGCTCTGCACGGCTGTGACAGGGTCAGGCTACAAGCTCACTGCAATGAGGTACAAAATGAGTAATAACTCAAACAGTTTCAAGGGATGTACTCTCCTGAAAGACGAGGACTGAAAAACCATTCTGAAGGCAGCACACCACAGTACCTTATCTGCTTTAATATCCTCTTGCTCTGACAGCCAGTGGTTCGGAGGACAGAAGCTTCTCCTTGTGTCTCTGGACTTCAGCATTTTCACCAGGTTGGTGATAACCTGCAGGGAAGGGCAGGTCTATATCACAGACGCACTGTGCACAAAAGCTGGAGCACCACTCAGACTCCTCAAGGAAACAGGGCTCAAAGTCTGCTGGTTGAAATTTTCAATGCTTCTCTAAGGAAAGGGTTTGGGCTTCGACCGTGTTAAGTCTGATGCCAAATTTCAGTAGAATTCAAATTCACACGAGCAGAATTTTCTTTACAGGTTCTATATTGTCTTAAGTTTGTTTCAAACAGCTACATTACTTGATTAAAACAACTAAAAATGAAAAAAGAAAAAAGGGCTCAAGCGTTCCCAAACCAGGGTAGGTAAGAGACCTTCACAGCAAGGCACCACTGGCTTATCCCCGCTACGCAGGACTGAGGTTCAAAATCAGCCTAGTAGGAAAAGTCCATGACACTGTTATCTTTAATTAATTACCAAAAAAGCTAGACGTTGAGCTGTGGCTCAAGTGATAGAGAGCTAGCCTTGAGCAAAGGGAGTGTCCAAGGGATGAGTTCAAGCCCCAGGAACAGCACACACACAAAATGAGCACTCCCTGCCTTCTGCAATCACAAGCGTGTGCTGCAAGAACAAAATAATTACCTGCCAACAAAGAAAGGAAAGTGAACTCCAGCATACACACATAATGGTCTTTATTACCTGTAGAGGAGATGGTGGTCAAGTTTTGAAATATTTAAAACTTAGAATTAGCTCATCTGAGATTAAAATGCCACTCTGACATTTTTTTCTAATTTTTATTTTTATGGCCTGAGCTAGGGCTTGAACCCAGGGCCTCAGCACTGTCCCTGGGCAGATGCTTTTGCTCACAGCTAGCACTCTACTACTTGAGCCACAGTACCACTTCTGGCCCTTTCTGTTTAAGTGGTACCTAATATACTTAGTTCTTGAGAGTTAGCTTTAAGTTTCCAAAGACTGGATCTTAGAATAGTACAGACATGTTCTGTTTAGGGAAGAACCTCTCTGAAATGTCATGGCTTCTGTCCATTTTCACAGTAAATAGATATTTAAATCAGACAATTAGGAAGTGGCACTGTAGCTCAAGTGGTAGAGCGCTCGCCTTGAGCTGAAGAGCTGAGGGACAGCGCCCAGGCATAGAGTTGTCAAGCCCCACAACCAAAAATCAATCAATCAATCATTCAGATAATTAGCCACTGTGTTGAAATGTGACCTGTTCACAGAGCCACACTGTTAACAAAGGCTGTGTTTTCTAGGAACTGTTAGGTTTCTTGCTTGTTGTATCACCCCACAGAACCTGACCATCTGCGTGAGACTACCACCCAGGAGGCAAAGCCTCGCAACAGACACTGAACCCGACCACAATCACAGACAAGAGGCAGTCTGCCCAATCACAGGAAGTAAAACACCCCCACCCCAATGCTGCTCCCTTACCCTCCTGTATTTAAGAGTGTCCTTTGTGTGGAGTCTTGTACAGAATAAGCAGCCCCTTGAAGAATTAACTGTGATGTTCTGTGCTTCTACTCAGTTCTATGCTTCTAACAGTTTTGTTGTTGTGTTGTGTTTTTTGTTGGGGGAAGGGGTAGAAGGTAATGCTGGGGTTTGAATTCAGCACTCTGATTACTAGGTAGGTAGACTTCTCTACCAGTTGAACTTCACTTCCATGTTAACTCTGTGTGTGGGGGGGGGGCGGGGGGGCTTGACTCAGATTTGGATGCTGTCCCTAAGCTTTTTGTTCAAGGCTGGTGTTCTACTATTGAGCATGGCTCCACGTGTAGCTTTTTTGATGGTTAATTTGCAATGAGAATCTCAGACTTTCCTCCCAGGGATGGCTACAAACCTTGATCCTCAGATTTCAGCCTCCTGAGTAGCTAGGATTACAGGTGTGATCCACTGGCACCCAGCTTTGATAAAATTTACCAAAGATAAAGTCAACATCTATATCCAGAACTAGCCATCCACTCACCAGTTTAAAATTATGATTTCAGCTGTTCATGTTCTCATAATCTTTTGGGTTTTTTTGGTCAGTCGTGGGGTTTGAACTCGGGCCTGGGCACTGTCCCTCAGCCCTTCAGCTTAAGCTAGTGCTCTACCACTTGAGCCACAGCACCACTTCCAGTTGGTTAATTGGAGATAAGAGTCTCACGGCCTTTCCTGCCCGGGCTGCCTTTGAACCGTGATCCTCATATCTCAGCCTCCTGAGCAGCTAGGATGACAGGTGACAGCCACGAGCGCCCAATATTCTCATAATCCTTTTTTTTTCCTTGTCGGTCATGGGGCCTGAACTCTGGGCCTGGGTGCTGTCCCTTAGCTCTTCAGCTCAAGGCAAGCGCTCTACCACTTGAGCCACAGCACCACTTCCAGTTTTCTGGTAGTTTATTGGAGATAAGAGTCTTAAGAACTTTCCTATCTTGGCTGGCTTTGAACCACAATGCTCAGATGTCAGCCTCCTGAGTAGCTGCTATTACAGGTGTGAGTCACCAGTGCCTGGCTAGTTTATATAATTTTTAAAGCTTATCTACACAGACATTCCATTTTCATATATTTGTAGTGTGGGTAAGTTTTTTTTTTTTTTTTGGTAGTACTAGTATTTGAACTTGGACCTTGAGCTTGCTAGGCAGGTATTCTACTACTAAGTTTTGACACTGAAAGTGAATCTGAGAAAAATAAACATGTTTACTTTTCACTTCACAAAATTTTGTGAATGAACCCAGTCAAACTTTCATTATTAAATTTTGTGTTTTCCTTTACATAATGAAGAAAAATGCTAAAGCATCTTAGTTGTACACAAAGCACCTGAGTTGAATTCTAAAGTATGGTCTTTGACGTTTCAAAGCAAAACAAAACTACTTGGACTTGGTTTAGGGCAAAGGGAGAAAGTATCTTCCCCACAGGTCTTACAAAGCCTGTGAAGTAATCTGGCCTGGCCCCACCAAGGCAAATGCAACACATAGCTGAAATTCAATAAAACTAGTTCTTTTTATAGAACATAAGCAGTACCACTAACACAATGTGCTATTGATGGCCTTTGGAAGGAAGAAAGTTGGTTAAACCCCAAGTTTAGGAGGTAGGCTTGTCCTGTTTATTTAGCAAATGAAAATATGGAGTCTAGTCAGATAAGCTGGAACTTCATATAAATTGCAGAACTAAAAAAACATAATTATGCTTCACATGATAACCATAAAAACAAGACCAGTAAGAAATCAGGCAAACAAGTGAAAAGGCACCTGACTTTTTTCTTTTTAGTTGTATTAATTTTCTTTCTTTTCTGTTTATGTGGTACCAGGAATCGAACCCAGGGTCACATATGCATGCTAGGCAAGTCATGAATTCCCAAGCCTACTTATATTTTTTTAAAGTTATGGTTTTCTAGAATTCAAGATTTGATATTTATCTGAAATTATATGGAAAGCTTATAGATATGATATCAAAATACACAAGTATTGAAGCTTTTCAATGTTTAATTTCAAAGTAACTTAGAAGTCGATACATAGTAGTAGAGCACTTAAGCAAAAAAGCCCAGGGACAGTGCTCAGGGATAGTGCTCACTCCAAGACTGGTACTAAACAAATAATAAACACACTCACACACATACACACCTGGGTCATTCATGGGTCTTTAAGGTAGGGAATGTGATAATTACATGAGGGAAGAATACTTTTTTTTTGTCGGTCATGGGGCTTGAACTCTGGGCTTGGGTGCTGTCCCTCTGCTCTTCAGCTCAAGGCGTGCGCTCTACTGCTTGAGCCACAGTGCCACTTCTAGTTTTCTAATGGTTTACTGGAGATAAGAGTCTCACGGACTTTCCTGCCCGGGCTGGCTTTGAACTGTGATCCTCAGATCTCAGCCTCCTGAGTAGCTAGGATGACAGGCCTGAGCCACGGGCGCCCGGCTGGGAGAATACTTTTAAACATTTGACTTCTAGTCTTGTACTGGAGGTTCACACCAGTAATTTTAGATATTCAGGAGGCTGATGTCTGAAGACCATAGTCTGGAGCCAGCCTGGGCAGGAAAAGTCCATGAGGCCCTATTTCCATTTTTTTTCCTGGTCATGGGTCTTGAACTCAGGGCCTAAGCACTGTCCCTAAGCTCCTTTTGCTCAGGGCTAGCACTCTACCAAATTGAGCCACATCGTCACTCCTGGTTTTTTCTGTGATTAATTGGAAGTTAAGAGTTTCATGAACTTTTCTGCTCAGGGTTCAATCGAGATCTTCCTATTAGCCTCCCGAGTAGGTAGGATTACAGGCATGAGCTACTGGCTCCCAGTTTATCATATCTTAATAATTATAAAAGAAAGGATATTCACCTCTGCCAAAAACAAAACAAAACCCCATGAAACAAAACAAAACAAAACAAGAAACAACCAAAAGACATCCAGGCAAACAGACAAGCAAAAACCCCAACCCAGGAAAGGCTGAGTGAAACATGGGTACAGTGCTTTGCACCTGCTGGTTTTAAGGTTGAAGTCTTCCCTTAGTAGTGCCGGGGGCAGAAGCTGGGGTCTCACACATGGCAGGGATCCAACACTGTGCAATGCCCTGTCCTTGTGTCAAAACTGGGTCTTGCCACGGGTCCTGAACCCCGAGTACTGGGATTATAGGCATGGTAACGCACCCAGCAAGGGTTTGTTTTCCCTCTTCAGAAGAAAAATACAAATCAACCCTAAAGAAAGGAAGAATGGCATAGCAGAGTGCTTGCACTGTGTGACTGGACAGGGAGCCAAGAGAGCACATGCCTGTGAGGTAACTCCTGCTAAACCTGGACTGCGTACAGAGACATCTCAAAGCAGGACTTCCCGGCGCCTCACAGAGCAAAAGCAATTATAGATACAAATTACATTTCAGGGAGAGTTTATAAACTTGATAAATGCATAAACTGTTTTAGCCGTGTCCATGAAGGACTCAGAAACTGACCTCAATTCCTACGGTGACAAAGAAAGATGACTCTATCCACTTACAATTCTATGTTCTATGACCAGCCAACAGAGCCTCTCACAAATGAGTTCAGCAGAACCATCGCTGACTGAAAATGAAAATAGT